AGAAGAGAAGGAAAATGGTGAATAGGTAGATGTAAGTTTGCAGCATGTGACAATATCTCTCTTTTTTTTCTTTATTTTGTGAAACCTTAACGGGTGGAAAGAAAAAAGAAATGATGAAATACACACTATTGTGCGGGTTTGTGTATGTATGGCTATGGTTGGGTGTGAGTGAGCATTAGTCTTTTCTCAACGCGCGCAGTCACACCCACACCCTTGCGTCGCGTTGCTTCGCTTGTAAAGTCCTCTGTCACAATTTTCAAGTAACGATGACATACTCTCAATTCGGTTAGACAAGGTACATATGCCTTTGTTTCATTTAGAAACTGTTCAAGATAACATTTATGGCTAGAGGCCACATCAAGTAACATAAGATGCAGATATTCAACCATTGAATATGATTGAATATGATCAGTTGATAATGTTAGAAGATCAACAAATAACTGTGGTTAGACATTGAAAATACGTAAATGCTTCACAAATGGAAACGATCAAGCGATTCGAACGAAGAAGTCATGTCTGAATGCATCATCATCTTTCACAACTAAATATGTAACATAACTGAATACAATATTTGGAAGTATATTGCAAAGATCTACAAGATAATCGAATTCAAAAGACAGTGAGAAAATAGAATATGCAACTTTATTTGGACTAATATTGTTAACGAGACTAGTCGCATTTTTTAGTCCGCTATTTGTTAATGTTTGTTGGATATCTGCACGAGATAAATCACGAGTGCCAATAGAAGAAGTAGTAATATAGAAAGTGAATGAATGAGGTTGTGGCATATAAACAAGTGTATCATTCTAAACACAAGCACCATCGGTGATTCTATTTTGACCTTTTATACGAAGATATAAAGTGAAATTTTCCAGGTAAGACATACGACGAAGAAGAAGCAGTATTTGATCAAATTGTTGAAATCGAAAGAAAGATTTTTATGAGAAGCATTCCAGATTAGGTATCTTGGCCTAGACAAAAGGAAAATTTCTTCATTAATCTGAAACGCTAAATCATGAGCATCATTACTGGTCACGTTAATAATATTTTCTACTCGACTTTGTTTTCTACGATATATGCATTCTGTCTAGAAGTGTCTGCATTTCGTTGCCGAAGTAACGTTAGCGTATGTGGAAAATTGTTTTTCCGCATCGTTGGAAATACTGATGCCTGGATGTATCTCTCTTTCTATTTTGTAATAAGTCACTTTGGATTTCTGAATTTATGCCAACGGAATATTAGCTCTGATTCTACGTTCCTAGTAATGAAACTCTCATTTGACATTGAATTCTGTGTATTAAAAATTACAAATTGATCAGTTCGATTTTGAAACTTAAAAGTATAGGAATCAGGAATTATTGAAAAGTTTCAGAGAAAATTCCTATCATATATCAATTATCTGTGCAAGAATATCAAGTAATTCATTACTCATATTCAATAATGAATAAAGAACATCAATATTATTCAATTTTCTCAAAATGACAAGTAATGCTTCATTAGGCAGATCCAGAAGATGAACAGTAGATCGACTCATCTTTTATTGTATCTACAACGTTTCTGTGAAAGGGAAACCACTATATATACGTTTATTGTTTATTTCTAATCACTTTTGTCATTGTAAAATAGACTAGATGAACTCATTCACAAAAATTTTAAAAAAAGATGTACCGTTCAATTCGATCATTGGCTCACCGTTTTTCATTCTGTATACTGAGCGCCTTCATTGTGTTCATCGGAACGAAAATTGAAGAAATGACATTAGGGTGTGGGTTGGGAAGAGTCTAATGCTCACTCACACCCAACCATAGCCACACATACACAAACCCGCACAATAGTGTGTATTTCATCATTTCTTTTTTCTTTCCACCCGTTAAGGTTTCACGAAATAAAGAAAAAAAAGAGAGATATTGTCACATGCTGCAAACTTACATCTACCTATTCACCATTTTCCTTCTCTTCTGCTCGTGATTCAATATATAAGATTCGATTGTGACCGACGATGATACCCGGATGTTAGAAATGGCATTCGGGTACCACGAAAGTTGGATTGATACAGAAGATTATCATGACCCATGCGTAACGATGACCATGCCAACCCTGAAGCGTTCCACATTTTTTGTTCTGTTTGATTTCGTAAGTGTTCAACAAGATGAGAGGAGTATCCATTTTTTAGAAAGTCGTCTCCAAATCAAAAGATGGTTCAACTATCGTAGTGAATATTAATGCGGTTAAAGATTTAGAAAAACGACCATACTGTCATATGTGTCAGCGGAAAAAGCAGTGTCTCGTACTCTTGGTATAGATTAGAATTTATCGTAACGGTTGAAAAAAGAGAAAAAGCGTTCTCACCTAAAGATAGAGTAGACCTCTGCAGTTACTGCATCGTTTGTTTTCTGTAATTAGTTGAGCATTGGCGTGACCAATTTGTTGCAGGAAATACAAAGCTTAACAGTCAGGTACAGCTTAATCCCAAACGAAAATGGTTCACTGTGAAGCAGAGGCGGCGGAGCGATTTCAATCTAGAGTAGGCTCACCTTTTTTTGGAAAAACAATGTCTGTCCATGGAAAAATGAAGGATTCAAATTTGCTGACAAATGATCGTGTACTATGGGGACAAAGAGAGATTTCTTGTACTTGAAAAAAAATTTGGAGTACAGGTGGAATACATACTCCGCAAGTCGCACTGTTCTCTGCTTGAATTAATTGTTATTCGCTAAAAAATTCAATCCACTTTATATAAACTTTTCTACGTTTCCGACTATTTTAATGTTTTTATTACCAAGACTTGATTCTTATGTAAAAAGAAAACATTCTTTTTAGAATTTATAAATCAGAAATTAATTTTCTTAATTATTCTATTATTTATGAACGTAGTACTAGATTTTAATCGGTATCCTGATGACGTCAAAATCGGAAAGGTATGTTGATATTTTCCGGTAATCAGTGAGCTAAAAATTCAACGTGTGAAACAGTGACATTCTGAAGAGGAAAAGGGAAAAATTCGTAAAATTGAGAGTTTGTCCAGACTTCTTTATCTACAATCGAACATTTATGAATGATCATAGAAAATTATAACTGTTCATTGGATTGAAATATATCATTGATATTATAAATTAAATTAATAGACATACAAGTATTTCTATGACTTTTAAATCTCATTTTGCTACATACGTTAAAATATATCTTTTATGACCTTAATTCCTTTTTGTTAATTTTCGATACAGACTGATAGCATATATAGAATCAAGTCGGCAATGAAATGATCATATTACTACTATGTATGATAAGAATATTTATCTTATGTATATATCGAATGGATTTCAATCGTGTAGAATCATTTTTCCATACGATGAAACATCATCCAGTAGTTCTCTATATTTTTCTTGGTTTATTTTTTAATTTAACTGCTTCAAGAAAACAAGTCAATTTCTTAAATGAATCAAAACGATTAACGCATGCTATCATACAAGGCGAAGTACGTGGTAATGGTAGTTTACCAATCGAAGATAGAAATTCTCATTTACTTGTTGAGCTTCGTCTTACACGTGATGATCGGCCACAATCAATTGCTAGAACTAAAATAAAACTTCATAATAATAGTGCAACACGCTCATTTATTTTACATTTTAAACTTAAGTATCCATTATCTAAAATGAATCCACATAATTCATATGTACTTTCGGCTAAAATTCGAAACGGTGAAAATAAATTAGTTTATATTGGTGATCTTCCTGTACCAGTTACTGAACGAAAAGAAGAAAAAGCTAAACATCTAATTATTAATGTTATTGAAACTCGTAAGTTTGAAAATTTTTCATTCCTATTTATTTTATTTATCGTACATAGCTGCATGGCATAGCAACATCGCTAAATTGGATTTACTAGCTTATAAAGTCACACAATTAGGAGGTACTGAAGAGGTAAATTTTAGTTTATGCTAATATTACTTTATTTTGAAACTATTCAAGGCATTCACAAGTGAATTATACACAAATAAGAAGCCGGGCATTTATACATGCGTCGTATGTAATTCAACATTATTTAGGTAACTGTTTATTCAATAGTCGTATTCGATTTTAAAATGTTTCTCTTTGTATGTAGTTCAAAACATAAATATAATAGTGGTACAGGTTGGCCATCATTTTATCAAGTAGCTGTTGAAGGTAATGTAGCTACAAATGTTGATCGAAAATACGGAATGACTCGAACAGAAGTTCACTGTGACAAAGTTTGTATTTTCAAACAAATAATATTAAATATTATCAATTCTATTTCAGTGCAAAGCTCATTTGGGTCATGTCTTTGACGATGGTCCTGCACCTACGTACATGCGCTATTGTATCAATGGAGTAACGTTACAATTTTATGATGATAAGAATGAAATGAAATAGACGTAAATTATTTTCTGTTTTGGTTTTATACGATGCGTTTCCATTGAATAGCAACTTTTATTATGCTAATTTTTAGTTAATGTTGAAAAAATAATAAACATCAATATCTATGTCACTTTTCTTTCGTACTATTCATATTCAAGCGTTTCTGGGCAACTCATCAGTGAGTTTGTTTTGTTTTCCTTCTGAATATTATGTCGTACGCTTCGATGAAAAATCTGCTCTTTGATCGTATTGAACTCATTAAAACAAATCATCGTTTCTTAGACTCAGACATTATCGGAATTAGTAGACCTTTCAATAGTTCATCAATTAAAGCGATTTATGACAGAAGAAGAAGTACTATTTTTTCTAGATATTTTATTTATTTAAACGAACTAATTATGACTATCATTCTTGTGTGAGCTGCAGACAGATATAATCTGTTTTTTGAACATTTTTCTCGAAAAATTTCTGAATTCCATGTGTTTCAAAAAAGGATTTTTGACTAATATGAAACGAATATAATTATTTTTTTCTAGGATAACTTTGATGTTGTTTTAAACTCACAAAGAAAGCTACACCTATTTATCATACTTTCTCGCGCAAGCGACACTTGAACAATAAACACAAATAATTTCGAATCGAAACCTATGATTCTATGGAGTAAAAATGATAACTAACTCTATAGAGACATAATCCAATGGCTGAAAATGACTGATTTCAATATTTCAATATCTGCTGCCTGCAATTCTAAAAATATGTAATCATGTGGTGTGACGTCTTTTTCAAAAAGTAATTCTTGATCTTCATGATTCCAGCTCTATAGACATGAAACTACATAGTACCGTCGAAAACTCAATAGCATCATGGATTAAATGATAATTCAAGTGAATTATTATCACAGAGCACTTTTAAAAGACCTTACGTAAATTATTGCTCGCTATCTCGTACAATATTTGCCTTCGTTTTTTTTACTGTTCAGTCCTTAAATGCGAAGTTCATTCATTGAATTTTACAGAGGGTGTTAATGATATTGTTTCTCTTTTATATCTTTGGATATCGATTATTGAACATTAATTTTAATTCATTTTTATTATACACATTTTTATTTTCTTCCATTTCACTATTTGACATCGAGAAAGAAATTCAGAAAGAACAAAAAACAAAACTTAGCAAAGACATACGCACAAGAGAATGAAAATGCAACGATCATTGAATATATAATTATTGTTGGAGAGAGAGAGAGAGATAACCATCATCAAAACGAAATTCGTAAAAAAACAAACAAAAGAAAATATCTGACTTTATCTTGCATAATATTTTGATTAATATCAAACAGATGTTTCTGAATTTAATTTCAAAACAAATTTATTTTGTTTTGAATCAAAGAATCTTTCAATTAAATTAACTCTTGGTACTTGATGAAATGTGCATATCAAAGCAATATGTTCAGCGTGTTGCTGTTTGAGTACGAATAATAAATTTGAATGAATTGGTTGATTTATTGAATTTTTTTCTCGTTTTTGTTCATCGTTTGTGTCCATTTGAGAATCACATACAAGTGACCATGATTGTTCATGATTATCCGTTAACGAGGCTAAGACAGGAAAAAGCAATGTAGCCAATGGTTGAGATTCTGTCTGAATATAACGTTCAAGAAAGGCTCTTGGCGAAAGATCATGTGATAAACATGTTGCTAAATGAGATACTATTGATTCTCGTGTAAAATAAGGTTGCTGTCGTGTTAAACGCAGATATTTTTGAAGAGATCGTGACATCGAAGAAAATACAGCCTAGAAATTATAACAAATCAATTTTACGAAAATCTTTTGTATAGATCGATATTTACTTGTGCTGCTTCTCGAGAATCCATTGGTATGTGCGTGCCATATTTTTCATCAAGACACTTTCGAACATGTGTAAATGCATCTTCACATGTAGTTATTAATTTGGTACGTCGTTTTCGGACGCGACGTTCATAATCAAGTTCATCATAAAATCTATAATACATTTGAAATATAATTAAGAGACAATAGCTATTTTAAGAAGAAGAATCGTTAATAGAAGAGACCTATTGAAAAACTTTTGCTTCATTGTTCTAATGCAGATATCAATGTTTTCTGCATAATTTTTAAATAAAAAAAAATATCCTGACGATTTCCAAGAAAAATTTTGTATTTTTGAGAAAGTAGTAAACTTCAACTTTATCGATCAAAGATCTCAATGTAACCCCCTGAAGGATTAATATTTAAAACGCAAGTCAATTACGTATGAAAGTGAGATCATTTTAATCGATAAAATTTTACTCAATCCTTCAAAATACATTAACACTAAGTGATGTAGATATTGCAAAGAGACTTTATTTAGTCTGTTTGATCGTATATCATTGAGTCATTTATAAAGAAGCAGGTTCTCAGTATGAACAAACATTAGACGTGAACTCTTAAGGCTTTTTCGTTGAATATTGATACGAAAGAACTAATGAACAAAAACAAATTGTCTTGCATAACATGAAACTCGTTATGTCCATATATGACCTAGAAAAATCTCATTGATATTCATTATGGCTAACTCTAAAAACTTCATTGATAATTTTTATAATTAGCTCGCATTGCTGAATCACTTCTCGTTTACTAACCTATATGCTAATGATGTTCGTTTTTCATATTTATATTTATCAAGGTAAATGACATAAAATAATGTTCATTTTAAATATTTCATCTACATAAGATAATGAACTATGTACTTTCTCTATCTCTCTCTCTGTGCTAAAATTCAATTAAAACAAAATATTTTCTCTTTCATGAGCATACCTATCGTTAAATCCACGCATTGTTTGTGTCAAATTTCCATTTGTACCAGCAGCAATAGTTGACGAATTTGATTGTGATCCAATAGATTTATTTGAAAATGTTCGATGACGTTTTACTTGTGTTTGATGAGCAGTTTCTAACCATGGATTGAATACAGGAAAATCTTTATAATATTGTTCCAATAGATAAACACTTGCTTCTTGAATTGACATTGATCCTGTTGATTGAAGAAAAAAAAGTAAAACATTTAAAAACAATATATTTTCTATGCAAAAAAACAAAAATTCTATCTTACCAATTGTATATTGTCTTGTTTGTCCATCAGGTGATCGTACAACTTTAACGATCCATTTCGGATATAACCATTTTATTTCTAAGATAAGTACAGATAATATTAGCATAAATAAAAGTAGATCTTCATATGTTGATGTCATTGATAAAATTCGTTCATATTTATCAAGTTTTGATCGTAAAATTTTAAATATATAATAAAACCAATAGACAACAAGAATAATTAATAGGATAAGAATTAGAAATGTTTTTTGTAAATGAATACATGGTAAATGTGGTCGATTTCGGCGTCGATGAAGTAATAGAGATGTACCAAAAAGTAAAAAAATAAGTTTAAAAATAATTGCTATTATTGGTGAATAATCATCAATTGTGATGAAATCTGATGTTACTAATGCAAATGGTAATATGAGAAAGAATAGAGGTGAAATGAACGCAATGAAACAAAGCAGATAAATAGTAAATTGTGCAATTGAAAAAGATAATGTTCGCCGATATGCATTATCTGATGCATATTGAAAATGATTATTTTGTTGATTATCATTAATTTGTAAATTTGTATCATTATTATTTGTTAATGTATCATCATTACCTCCATTACATGTTATTGTTGTTGTTTCACCCCAATTATCATCTTGTGGAAGAATTTTAACTTCAATACGTTCATCTTGCTTATCAATTGAAGCAATAGGTGTCTCTGATGCTACTGTTGATGATAATGTTACTTGATTATTAAGTCGTTTTTTATGATAACGACGATCTGATGAACGTGCTTCATTTTTTATTGTATGTATTGATGATGATGGAAGTGTAACATTGGCTGAAGCATTATTGTATGTATCCGGATCCATAATCTATAATAGTTATACGATATTGAATTATAAAAACAACTTTAAACAATATGTTACGATTGAAATAGAAACCTTATGGAATGAAGACATTAGGTAACAATACGTAAATAATTACTGGTCGCTGTCTGTGTCTAATCAAAGAATATAAAATGCAATGTTGCATGATCAATTTACATACTAGTACGAGTATATTGAATGAACAATAGTAATAAGAGAAAATAAAATAAATTAGTAGATTTAATTGAAAGACAAAGCTTTTATTTTTGTTCTCAAAACTACCATTAAATAAGTCACTTAATCGTTGCAAAAAAACATCAAAAGCTCGATTTTAAGTACATTGAATCGTCTCACTATTGATTGGTGTCAAGTGCTTGTCCATTGAAAAAGTTAAGATCATGAACAATATCACTCACCTCCACTTCTGATGCACAATAATGTTGCTCTAAAGCATTTCCACTTTTGTTCAAGAGTAACTCATATGCTTTTGATTTTGCTGTTTTCGTTGTCATCGTAGTTGTCCGATGGGTGTTCATTATTGTCGACAAATATCTAACAACTGTTTGGCTACTTCTTTTTTCTCTACGCCGCCTATATCAACCCATGAAATTAACCATCACATCTTTCTTCTTTTTTCGCTCTCTCTTTTTCTTCTTCTTCTGTTCATTGTCTCGAAGTATCGTTATTTTTCACGCTGTCTCGCTATCTACCGCGATTCATTGCCTATAGGCAATTTAAAAAAGTGTAGAGAGAGTATTCTAGCCAGTGTAGAAGAAACTACTAGATCAAAGTTCAATTAATAACATAGATGTATAGACCTATCGCTAAACTATAATTCATACAGATCATTCAAACTAAAATTTATATCGAAAAATAAATGAAAACGAAAAATACAAATTCAAGGCTTTCTTCTCAATTAGATGAACAAGAGAAAAAGGAATGATTGATGAGCTAGACGTTGAACAAGAGATACACACATGTACATATTAAACGAACTGAACAGAACGATCGTATTGTTCAGTGAGATTGTCGCGAAAATAAAAGGTGAGTTTATTACCGTACGGTGACTATCACATATGAACATCTATAATATTGTAACACGAACTTTCTGTTACTGTGTTGGTTAGCATTTTCTATAATGAGGATTCATTTTTTTCAAAATCACTGAATATATATATATATTTACTCCTAATTATGCTTGTCTACTTTTTTCTTATCACGCATATCATATTAACTAATGAGAACAATAGATTTTCTTAGACACGATATAAAGATTTTTGTTGTTGACAATAGGCGTACGTTTATACTCTTCCACATGAAATGATTCGAATCGTATATGTATACTTACATACTAATGTTACAACGTTGTTTGATTAAAGATTTAGTGAAAAGTTGCTCATTGAAGAAGTGAAAAATGAGTAGAGAATGGGTGTAATAAAGCTGAACAGACGAGCAATAAACGGATCACACACATACACACGCTTTATAGATTTTATGATTGACCAACTGACCCCGAGAGAAATCGAGTGGAAGAAAAGAAAAGCTTTCATTCAAAAGAAAAACAATCTTACATAATAAAATACTCTTATCATATACATGAGCACTTCTACAGACAGTAACTCTTTTAAATAATATAATACTCAAAAAATAGCCGCTCTACTCATTACTACACTATGGACATAACATGAAATCTCTTGTTTCGAAGACAATTAAGACATTTGTTTACTTCTATAGAAACAAGAATAGAAAATGTAAAAAAAAAAAGAAAAGGAAATTTGTACAAATAGAGACGGATTATCTCGACGAGTGAATAGTCTGATATTGAGTATAGAGGAAGGACAAATGGAACATGAAAAGAAAACAAGCATGACTAAATGTACATTCACTTACTTGTTTGAAAACAGTTATTTGCCAGGTGATTTCGATTGATCACTACCGTTACGCTAAAACAAAGAATCAATTTCCATTGGCTATTATCAACACAGAGACATAATTCTTCTCTACGGTTCAATTCAATCATCAAACAGATATATATTTTCAGCCGCTTAATACCGTTTGAGCATGCCATCTACATCAAATATTTCTTTTTGAATTGAATGAAAAGTTTTAAAAATGAATATTACTGTTACTGTACTAGATTTAATTTCCATATCGTACATTCGAAAATCAGAAATCTTTCATCTAGGAAGAGAATGTGCTGCTCAATCTTGAAAATTTGCTTGCTTCTCCACAGGAGTTTTGATAATTTGTTTTCTCGTTCTTTTGCTTCATTGCTTTCGATAAAGAAATCGCTCGGTCGTAACGACTATTTCAATGTGCGTTTGTCTAAATATGACATCGCTCATTTGTAATCATGTCAGTTATTCGTATTACAATTAGCCATTAAATTGAATGAAAAAAAAAGAATTTTATACAGTTTCTTTTAAATAAATATTGACAAGTAATCGATTTAAATAGCAATTTTACCAAACATTATGTGAAACTATTGCTGACCTATAATTAAGTAGAAATATATACTTTCTCTTTTCATGTAATAATTTGTACCATCAAAGAGTGTATGTAAATAAAATCTTGTTGCAATGAGTAAACTTCCTGTTTATGATTGCACTTTTGAAGGATTAGATAAAACAATCTCATTTTCATTTTGAGCACCAACTATATCATGATTAAGATTAAGATTATAATTCAACGAGTATATTGTCATAATAGGTTTGATTTAATATTCAAACTTCAGAATAATAGTGTTTATTATTGTCTATAATATGAACATACTTAATAATCATATAGCTCGTTAAGAAATACATGTATTTGATTGATTTATATTTGTGAATGGTTTCTTTCGTATGTAATTATATACCATGGAATGATTCAACTTACCAACACACGCGAAAATTGAACTTAATTAGCTGGTTTCTCTCCTCCATAACTTTATGAAAAAAACTACTGTTGTTTTTGTAAACAACATAAGTACACTTTTATCACAACCAAACTGAATTACTAAATTAAATAGCCTCTAATATAAACCAGTGAACTCATGTTGAATCATTTTTGACTCACATAAATTATTTATTCGAGGTAGAACAAGACAGATGGGGAAACAGTGTGTTCCAAGTACATATCAGTATGATTAAAGTATCAAAAAACAATATTCTAATGCAGCGCTGAATAGCTGGGAAAACACCTCATTTCATCGTTAACTAATTAGAAAATGGTGCTTCTGCAAATATTTGATTCTGATGTTTATAAACTTCATACAATATGTATTGCTACGAATATAATCTATTTGAAGCAAAATTTTTAAAAATTTTCTTGATTGTTCATATGAAATCGTTCAAATGATTTTCTCTTCCAGAATTATTCAACTTCCAATTATAAACACATAACAGAATCGTGCTATCAAAAATATTTACTAGAACCAATAGTGAGGGGCTATTGTGAACACTTTTTCAACCATCGAAATATAAAGCTTCATAAAAATTAAAATTTTTGTTACTTTTTCAAAAAAAAGACTCACGTGTAGCCTGAAGTGTTCTCTATATGTCTATCTAAAAATCTTCTAGAAATACCTTCAGGAACTTGTTTGTTCGCTGTTTTGCTAAGAGCTCCACAGTTTGTTCATGATAGTCCCACTCCGGGTTATTATGAACGTTTAGCTAAATTAGAAGTAGAAATCGAAGTTCATTCCGTATCACTTTAGTAATCATACGAAAAAGACTAATTAGTCATTTTTTTACTAATACATAGAACATCTTCTACTCTACACTTCGTTAGATTGACGTATCTATAGCTTTTATTTTATAATAACAATAATCAAAACAATAAAGAGTAAGTAATAAAACAAAAATGTTTTTTGCTCATATTTCCCCCATTGAGGCTATTATGAATATAAGTCAAACATAGGGGGTAATTCTGAACACTATGCTAAAAATGACTAGGTTACGCGAATTTTCATTCTTGATCACTTTTCAAGGAAAATTGATATTAGATTGAAAATGAAGTATGTCTGAAATTGCACGTATTTATCAGCATTTTTTACTATGATGTTTCAAATATATCTTAAACGGTTTTTCGAAATTGGCAGTAAATCTTTTATTTCATTATTTTTTCAAATTACATTTCTGTAAAACTAAGAGCATGGATAAAGAAACAGAGAAAATAAGAAGATCGTTTTTTTGTAATATATTACATCTAAAACTAAAATATGGATCAATGAGAATTAATACAAGAATTATTGTTCATTTTACCTCTCGTGTGTAATTGACCGAACGGCAATTAGTACAATGATAGAAAGTATAAGTTTCATTAGACCAGCAAGACCAACACATTGGTATATTACATGAAGAACAATAGCCTCCTATATATAACCTATTAAAAAATCGATAACAACGAACACAGCTTGATGTTGATACATTTTGAAGTTCTTGCAGAACATTTGTAGTCGGTTGAGAAGAAAATAATTGATGCGGATAATTTTGTAAATCAATTGATGGTGTAAAATGAAGATTGTTAGGATCATGATAATACGATTGTGATGAAGAGTAGTTCGTAGAACAAAATATTTGTAAACTATCAGTATCAGGCACTACCCAGGTCGAGCATTACGGCTACCAGAAACGGTCGTATACGGCCGTAAACGTTAACGTATACTGCCGTTTCTCACCGTAAATGGCCGTAAGTTGACGTTTTGGTATGCACCGTATTACGGCCGTAACTAATCGTGTCGTAAACGGTTACTAACGACCGTAATACGGTGCATACCAAACGGCCGTGTACGACACAAGTTGATCGACCTGGGTCCACATGAAAACTTCTTTTCTGACTATCATCATCCATTGTAATCAAGTGTTTTTTTTATTAGTTGGTGCTAATTTAGACTTTGATATGTTTACAAGTATTTTTAAGTTGCATTCAATTGTTTAATTACATCATCAGAGTTGAAGACTGCTGCTTTTCAAGAATATTTGAATAGTAATAAAATCAATATACTATCAAAACAGAGAGAGGCATAGTTATTGAATTAGAGTAAAAAATTAGTAACATGAATTACAGACATTTCGCTTCGCATTCTCATAGTAGTCCTAGGATGTTAGTGAACAATTGTAAAAATATGTCATATTTTCAAACGATAGGTGCATCGTTTTTATGACTTTTAAGATTAAGAAAAGTTCGCTATTATTGAATTTCTTTTTCTTACACTTGGCAGTACTTGCTGTCTGAAACTGTGCATATTTCGATTTTTTGATTTAGTATTGATATTTTTGAATGACTCTCCTTGACTTCTTTCAATCGCTACTTATGCATGCTTTAATTTTGTGAATTTAGCAAGAAAAAATTTCAGAATACTTCTAAATTGCTATACGTGTATTGTATCATATATCATTTTTTAGATTAGTCTCATGAGAACGTGAATATTTTTGAAGTACAAATTCAAATCCGTAAGCTAAATTTCTTCTTTCTCTTGTTTTCAGTGAGTGATAAAATCAAGTATCGAATCGCAGTATAAGCTTATTGATTTGATTTATATTTCAATTTCCAA